CCTTTTCATAGAACTTCGGTCTTTTAGTTTTGCTTTTCTTTTTACAATCTTAAGCAGGAAATTTAAGTTAGTATCAAAAGCTATCATTACTAACTCTGAAACTTACTTACTTACGCATGTTACTCCCAATGGAACATAGACCGCAGACCTCTGGTTAGCGATATTTTAGCGAGTTGGTTTTCTACAGGATAGGGTCGCTAACCCCATGCGCAACCCTCCTCCTTTACCCGGGCTTGGGACCGGCAGTAGCCCTCGGAGGAGCTACAGGCGGAGTTAACAACTCTGAAAACCGGTAAAATAATACAACACTTTGCTATTCGGACCTCAGATGGATATTCCACACGAATCTTTATGATAAAAATATTACAATATATTTGTCTTTGGGCAGTCTGAAATTTTGCCGGAATAACATTATAAATTACAAATTATGACACTTTTCTAAAAAGACTTATGCATGCATTCGAAACTCCGATGCTAGATCTCTAGATTAAAATTACTTCTCATAAAATTTGTATTGAAAAGTATCTCAGTGAGCGCTTAAGGAGAAACATGTTAGAGTTATCCAATACAATCAAGTGCTGTTAGTTTGTCCATAGTCTGCTGTAGATAATGGTGACTAGGCCGTTTAGATAAATGTTAGTAATTTTGACTTGCATTGTTGCGAGGCAAACAATACAGCTTTTAGCGACTGATTTAAAAACGTTCGAAAGTTTTATCAGACAACGCTTGATATATATGAATGCTCAATGATTCTACCAATTTCTCTCCACCTAACTCACAATATGAAGGAAATTTCGTTTATCAGATGGTAGGGAAGATATAAAGCTCATGTGAGTAATTTTATTAAAGTTTCGTTCTTTGAGCTGGATGGTTTGGTCGTGGAGCTCACATTGTTCCTCGAAACAACATCATAAGCACAAACGTCAGGTATTTGAAATCTTCTACATTCGGCACTCAGCTTGTTCTGCTGACCTCGATATTAATTTGTTATTTTTGACATTTCATCTGTCATCCTCGTCCTCCTTATTTTGGTTATGTCTCCTTTTGATCTGTTTTTGATCCTATACTTTTACGCAATTTATCTGACTGGTTGATTGATTGGATTGATTTATGCATTTGTTGATTGCCGCTTAACTTGATTACCAGGGTTCTAAAGTACTATAGTGTTCTTAGAACTATCTTCTTACAGGATTGTGGCACATATGTGTTTGCAGTTATCCACAAGCATTGATATAAGTGAAGATATGTCATGTCATTTGACTTTAGATTAAAGTACTGTAGAGATAAATAATTCCCCAAAATCAGTAGATCTGTAAATGTTCAATGTCAGATGCTGACCATATTAGTTTTGATGGACTCACCTAGCTGAAGGCGCTCGGCCATGCATCCACACAGGATTACGAGTGGGAACTCCGTACTCAACTTCTGCTGCAACAGCTAGCCAGTTAGATCAGTCGATTCTCTATTTATTGATAATCTATTAAATATATCTTCCAACCTCCTCGCTTTTGACTCTTAATTTCATTGAGTGGGTACGATTCATTTTTAGGTGTTAGTGGTTGAAGTGTTGTCAAACTTCAAATACTTGTGTCATCTTCATGTTATTTCTGGTTTTTACGTATGGATACACAAGGTCATTATCCAGTTATCAGATAAATGTGAATTGATATGTGTAATTAACATATGTGATTCATATAGGCTTAGTTACACTGCTAAACAATCATCGAATGGAAAATCTTCACCCGCCTCACACTCGCTAAGATAATCTTAGACTCGATTTGTATTTTCTTCCTGTGCAAACTTCATATCTGGAGAGCCTGGTCCTCTGACTGCTTAGGGAAAACTTGTTATACCCTCTGATTCATCATATAGCGAACTAGGGGTTCTACTCGATACACATTGGTTGTGAGAATATCCAACATCTGATACAATAACATCACAAATGTAACTAGAATTCAACTCATTAGGAACATATTTGTCACATTCGTCAGGTATATCACTAGAGATAAATCCAGAGTGACGACAATTAACATGTGATGCTACATCATAAGAAAATTAATCAGATTTTAATTCATTGAGAAATTGTTCCTCACAATTAATCGAGATTTCACTACAAATAAAATAATAATTAGGAGAAACTACATCTGGTAGAGTAATATCAGAGTTCTCATCAGGACTTGGTGCGCTCAACATATCTTCTAAATTTTTGCGAAAAATTTCATTATAAATACATGAATCATGAGGACAATGCATATCTGGTGAAATAATATCATGAGTATGATCATGGTAGGATTGATTCGAAACATCCAACTTAATTGATTTGTACTTGCAAAGTTTAGCATTATTCGCAGCGAAATGAACAATAATGTAGCTGTAAATTATTCCCCAAAATCAATATCTCATTAAGTGTTCAACATTGGATGCTGACCACATTGTTTTGAGTGGACTTGTTTAACTGAAGGTGTTCGGTCATGTATGCGCACCAGATCACGTTACGATCCAATGTAGGACACAGCTCCTACGTTCGCTAGTCAGATCAGAGTAAACGCTTCTCGATATATTGATAACGCATCAAATATTTCCTTCCTACCTCTTCTCGTTTGACTTCTGATTTCAACTGGTTGGGGAACGCTTCGAACATAGAAGGTGTTACTGCTTTAGAGTTGCAAAACTTCAAGACTAGTTGTACCTTCAGTGGTGAGCCCGACGTGATCTGGTACACCAAGCGCATAAACTGTGAGTCTGTTCCTTTTTGGAACTTCATTATTAATTATTTTTTTATTTGATTTATATATATTGTTATGTACCTTTTTTCGGATATATTTTAATTATATATCTTTCGTTCTAATAATACTATGACGGAACAGTCACCTAAGGTTTTTAAGCTTAAATCTATTCCCCCAACTTCGATCCCGTTAACGCCTTTTTGGCTTGACAATATCGAGTCCTGGTTCTGCTACACAGAAGCTGACTTTTGCCGGCACGGAATCACGGACCCACGCTCACGATTCCTCGCGGTGGTAAAAGCACTACCGCGCGAATTCAACAGGTACGCAACACCTAGTATGTTTACTAGTGATGTTCCGGTACCATACGAAACACTCAAACGGTTGGTCCTAAAACGCGGAGATCTAACCAATCGATCAGCTACATAACAATATTGACCTGCAACATGGTGTAGTGACCGGCCAGTCTCGATAAGAACACGATTGGAACAACGGAAACAATTATTATTATTGTAACCAATTGTACCAGAGATTGTTTTAATGTATTTGTTTAACTGTATCAGTTTCACTTCTGCTTTCGCTCTCCGCCTTTTTTGGTTCGAACCTGCTCACGCACTGCCTGTTCACCTGTACTCTTTGGCACGTCTCGGTATTATTTCGATACCACGAGATCGCCAATAAATACAATTGATCTGGATTAATAAAGTCTTCTGATTTACGAGCTATCAAAAGAAACAAGTCGTTTTTTTTGGGCGCGTAAACGAATTGTAGTGGTGATCATAGTCCGTCTTCGACTCGACATCCACTACAATGGTTCCGCGACGGACATGTTGTTAATTTTGAGAGAAAAAATAGGTCAAAGAACTTTCGACGATGGCCTATCTGAACAACACTTCTTGTCTAAACTCCCGAAACAGGTGCAAGCAGTGCTCGTCTCGTCTCAAAACAACGCCGTAGATAAACTCGCTGCGTTTGCAGACGGCATTTTAGAGATCACGAAATCTACTAGCGCCTGAGGTTTATTCCGTCAAAGAAAAATCTCAATCGACCCCAACTGAGATAGCCGAATTATATCATACACTAACACGATATCTGCGATTCTTTAATGACCGTAGTCGGTCAACAACCTCACGTGGAAGCGTTTCACGTAGACGATCTGTCTTTCATGGTCGAGAGACACGAAAAAGAACTCGGGAAACTTTCAAGCCGGCACGCGTTAACGGCAACCGAAGCCGGCGAACATAGCCGCCTTTTATACGTCACGGATGTGACAACGAAAGTTCGCTACATTGTCGACACTGGCGCAGAAGTTAGCGACAGACTTCACGAGTCTGTTTTAAGTTTGCAGGCGGCGAACGAAAAACCGATCGCTACGTATGGTAAAAGGTACGTTAAACTTAACGTGGGTTTGCGCAAACCCATCCACCGGATTTTAGCCTCCAACATAGGTGGTACAGATTTAGAGTTGCAAAACTTCAAAACTAGTTGTATCTTCAGTAATATTACAAATTGACTAAATGTGTCCGATCTCACTACATTTGAAGCATTTGGAATGACGAAATACATATGGAATAAATGATTGAAATTCACCTCAGGACAAACTCTTATCGAACCTGTGTTCATCTTCGTGATCCGCTCAATAGCTCCTCAATGATTTATCTGCATAACCTTGATTATGCATTGGATTAGGATGACGTAGTAATGTGGTAGATTTATTGATGTTCTGATGAATCACATTTTGAAATTTTCCTATTTTACTGCATTCTGAATTTGTAAACTTTACATGATCTGGCAGCAGTTCCTTGGTAGTTGCATAAGGATATGAAATAAGCTTTTCTGGAAATACAAGATTTTTCATTAAGCTGTATGCTTCTTTTTCGATGAACGTAAGGAGATGAGTCGCAATATTATCATTCCCAACATCTTTCATGGTCGCAGTGCAGATTTCAAACCTTACTATGTAATCGTCAAAAGTATCAAAATGTGGATGTATGTCCAATTGTTCTGTCATAGGCTCCATTGTGACGCCAATAAGATAAGTATAGGTGTTTGAATTATTATGTGAACTAGGAATTCTCGAAATTACTCGATTTAAGCCAGCTAGAACTGCATGAACACAAACGAATCCATTGTTTTCGTCGAATACAGCAGATTTGTCAAGTAGTTTACCCATAGAAAGAACTGAGTGTAGCATAGATGCAGAAATTAGGTAGAAGTTGAATAGTTTTTTTACCTGATGAGTTAGTTAGATTTCTGATATTTGTTTAAACAAACCACGATGCTCTGGTTGTCAAAGACTCACTTTTGAATTAAGCATTTTCATACACATAATTATGTCAAGCACAATGGGTCCAAATGCTCGACTTCACAGAGTATCAGAAATTAAAGAATGGTAATTTCTATCACACTTGATGTTAAGATAAATTGTTTTACACTTTGTGTTTCTGTTCTTGTCAGTTTTTATTAAAAGAAGTAAAAAACTTCAAAATAATATCATTTTGAGTATGTATACCATACTAAAGTGATTTTATAAGTTGCATTAAAGCATTTTTATCTAAGCCAGGATTTCAATAATGAAGTGGTTCTGTCAGTTTCATACAAAATAGGTTAACTAATCATCACTCAACTAGCCACTTGGCACGTTGCATAGTTATTACATTTAAAAATGTAATTTGTTGAAACCTGTATTATACTCTAAGGACTTCAACCATTAAAAACGTGAGTGCCTAGTTAGTATATGCAACGACTACTACGAAGCATTAAGTCACGTCATTTAGTCATCCGCTGACGATGGTGAATTAGTAAAATAATTTTCCAGACAAAATATCAGATTTCTGTTTGCTTCATATGCAAATAAAATTTCTGTTATTTCGACGACGTTCTTCTCGCTTTTTGTTTCTTCATGGATCAATCGAACAAACATCTCAGGGATGTCAGAATTACAGATTTAAGTTAATAATGTTTGTTTTCCACAAAAACTGAATCTCTTGATAGTTCTCGTCAATTGACAACTAACAGTCTTTAAGAATCGTGCAACCGAATACTTTGAAGTAATGTTTGGTTTTTTTTCTTAATGTTTGTACCTGAAGACCTTAGTTTACACTTAAATAAATCATTGCCATTGTTTGCATTTAAGCTAATAAATCGTAATATAGTGTAAAAGAAGAATTTACTAAGGTTTCACTAACAGGTTACCATAAGATTGACATATATTTCTTCACTGTGTACTTCTTATGTTTCTTAAGTTTAAAAACATAGCTTAATGTATTTCTTGGGTGAAAAATCATATTTCACATTCAAGTCAGCAATAAGGCCAAGTTAATATGTCGGTAAGTATATCGTATTCATTACTTTAAGTCTGTCAAGAAACTTATATCAAAGCTAAGAATAGGCCTAAATTATCTGAATTTTATATCATAGGAGTTTGTGAGCTCCATATACCTGCTGCTATGTTAGTTGGGCTGATTTTTTTGTACCTTTCTAAAATGTATTCTCTCTAATAAGACTGACTGTAATATACTTTTGGATTTAGTTCTTTAGCGATTATATCTTGTTCATTCCTCTTCTTGTCACTGGTACATCTTAAAACAGATTTTTAGTGCATGTTGTCTTGGTTAGTTAAAAGTAGACAGTGGATATTAGTGCCTTGTTAGGTTTTTGACTGAACTTTACTAACTAGGGGGTTGTTATAGATCCAGTATGAAATTCATTTACTCCTTTAACACTTTTCTTCCAAAATCATAAGTAATCAATTTTTACAAGTGACTGTCTTTTTGGACATCATTTTGCCTAAAATATTTTCTTCAATAAACCAGGTCAATTAATTACTAATATATATGGTTATTTCATTCGTGTTTCCCTTGCTATATTCTTATGCTAATTTCCGAATTTATCGAGTAAAGTTTTGAAAACTTTGTGTTTATTCTGTCTCTGCTCTTTTATTTCTTTGGACTTGTCAGAATGGTTACTGTTCTTCAGTTTCAATGCGTGAGACTAATAGTTTGTAGGTCTCATAATAACTTCTTTTGTAGATTATTTATTATTATTATTATTTTAAAGACTATTAATATTAATACTTTATACCTGATTGTAAACTCGTATTATGAGTCCCTAAGAAATTCCAATTCACTTCAGCCATAAGCTATCCAAGGATGAAGGTGATCATAAGTGAATTATTTCATCATCTGTCTATCGCTACAGATACATGAAAAATAAGACTGAGATACATCAGTTCTTACAAAGCTTTTAGGTTTTATAACATTTTATGTATTCGGTTTTAGACTGAAAGCAACTGCAGTCCTGTCTATCAGAATACAAACTCTGTCCCAACGTGATTAGTTGTTTGGCTTATTATTTTTTCAGAACTCAAGGTATACCAAATGTTTGACTATTGCTAAAATATGAAAAATAGAAGATTAATATTAGGCTCAGGACCTGCATTTTTATTGAGATGTTAAATATGACATTATTTCCCATAATATTATATTGTTTCAAAAACAGTGAGAATTTCAGTTATGGGGGAAGATTATATGTCTCATTGGTCAAGCTGACAGGACAGTCTTCCATTTGCTATTGAATCAACAAGAAAACATAATCTCTTAATTATTGGGCACATCCATGAATGCTACCAACTGATATACTTACAGTAGTTAACATACATTTTCAGTTCGTTAAGCTTTTTTCAGTAATTCATCTCATGTTTGAAGTTTCACTTTCATAAGCCATAGACTTTTTGTCACACTATCTTTAGAAACTCTCAAGTCTAGGTCTCCTAATAAACAAAACCACATTTACCGTGATATTTACATGTCAAAGTCTCTTTGTTGGATACGAGGATTTGTTTCTATAGTCTTTTTCCTTTTTTCTTATTTGCTCGGATTATCGTTGTGTGTTAAGCATCAACTTGTCAAACCACAATGGATTTAGTATCGTCCTAGAAGTACCTCTTATCGTTCTTATTTTCGACTGAAAACGTTAACAAATCACAGCGGTGTGAAGTGTGCATAAACGTCAGTTCTCAGTTTCCATTTTGTTATCCACTATATCTCAATAGAATAAATGACTAGTTGTGTCGGTTGATGCAAATTAATTTCTCTTGAATCGACAGTAACTTAAATTGACGACATGAAAAATTGAAGTGAATATAAATACAGAAACTTTCATAGGTTCCTGTTTTCATGAGCTGACATTATTCATTGTTCACTTCCTGCATTATTACTATGATCACAGACAATTGTGGTAATAAACTGAGGTTGTCTGTGGTTTGCTAGCAATCGAAGACCACATGAAGAACTTTCTTCTTGTAGTATCTGTAAAGAGTTTCTACAAATGCTACAGTTCTGATTCGAGTTTATTTCGCATAATCCATCCAAGCGTACACTTGTCTACTTCCACAATGAACAGACACTTCAAAAAAGAGGAACCAATATTTAGAACAATAGCAATCGGGTACTCCTAATTATTTTGAAGACGACAGAAATTGACATTTTGTGTTACAAGTGAAAATAATTTACAAGAGGTATTATTTTTAAAAGTTAAGCATTTGTACTTATATTGTCGTGAGGTCAGCTAACCGATTTCACGTGTCCAGTTACCATTTAGAATCCTGACTCTAATTTGATTTTCTATTTACTCTATGGCTTGGTTCTTCTCCTACACACTCAACCAGTACGATCGACCTTGAACCGGCAGCTAGTTCACTACTTTCTAGCTCATCTCTACGCCCAGATTCAAGTTCAGAAGTAGCGACCACTCTCTACGGTATTTTGGTTTCAAACAGATGCGGTTTATATACAGATAGACTGAACCACATCACATCACAACATGAAAAATGATAATTACACATGAACATGGAAAAAGCGGTTAAGAATCGGGGAGACTTCAGCAATAAACTGGGAACAAGTTAGAGATAGTAAAACATATGATAATATATGGTGGGTTTTACCGGGAGCTTATTATTAATGAAATACATATACATGGTGATCTAGTTATTCGGAAGTTGTACAATAAAATTACAATAAATGACAATTCAGAAAACTAGTTTCAACTTTTACTATATTCGTTCCATTATAACAGTACTTTCAATAGTTTACACTAGATTAGTTCGTTTGGTTTAATGTATTCTACATTTGGCATCAGAAAGATACACTGAGGTTAGTTATATGAAGTGAAAACTACTTGTTTCTTTTTCTATCAGAAATAGGCTAATGTTTCAGAATTCTATGAAACAAATTTAAATATCTCCAGAGAGTAACAGTTAGTATGGAGTGAATGGAATTTTAGAATTCTCGCTCATACACAGTATTATCACTTCTCTTACTTCAGTTGTTACGATGAATTATATTGTTCTGCTTTTACTTCAAAGACAGAAATAGTGTATTGTGATATTACATTTCAATATAGTTTGTTACTGGACAGAAGTCAGTCATAAGCAATGTAGAACTTGACATGTATACGTATCAGTTAATGTTGTCAGCATAGCTGTCTAGTGTTGGCTAGTTTTCAATGGATCGTCGGTTGATTTTGGTCCTTAATGAAAATAAATTAATAATAAATGTTAATTAAAAAGAATTATATGCCGTTTACTGTTTGTTTTAAGGAGTATCAATTTTAAGAATTGTTATATTGAACACATTAAGGGTTTTCATAGTTGAAATCATGAGTCAATTGAAGCTAGACCCCCATGCAAAACCTGGAAGCACTGTTTGAGGGCCGTTTAGTTCTATTGTGCGACTCCTCATTAGTGCGCATCCACGATCCCGCACTCGTGAGATTCGAACCCAGGACCTACCAGCTTCGAGCCGGAGCACTTAACCGAAGTGAGCAGCCGTTCACCAATTGTCTTTCGTGAGTTGATATCTCTACAACAGACTTGGTTGAACTCCACTGGTCACTGCTTCCCACTAAAACTCAAGGAAACATTCCTTACAGTCGGTCACTAGTAAGCATATTATTGTTAAAAATGATATGTGATTATACGATGTGGTTGGCTAACCACTAATCTCAATGAATTCTTAAAGTAACCTATCCGAAGGCAACATAACTACCATGAAAATGGGCATTTTCTCCCATTAAATTGAATGAAACACACATACATAGAAAATATCATTCCTGAGAATAAACATGATTACAGGTCATTTAGTGTATACAAAGTTGGAGGATATGAATTTTGTAATTAACCTGGCTAGTAAACTTTGATAAGTTAAAAATTGACTGGTCACTCAGTAGTGACCATTATCATACTTGTCTAGTCTTAAACGCTTGTCAAATTCTGTCAGACAAGTTACACTGCAACCGGTGTTTTAGTTGAAACATATCAACACTAAATTACATAGGTTGTTTAACAATTGCTGTAAACATATCACCTGTAAAGGAGGTCAGTTCCAGCTTAAA